GGGTTCGGGTTCGGGTCGGCGTGTGCTGTGGGGCGGCAGCCGGCGGAGGGCAGGTGGGCGGGGGGAAGGAGGGGATTATACTCTGGTTTCTCTTCAGATCGCATAAATCTTTCGCCTTTTACTAAAGATTTCCGTGGAGAGGAACAGGCACGAGTGTCGAGGAATTTTTTGAGGCTCCATTTCGGTGGAGCTGTCTTTTGCGTGGTTAAAAGCAGAACAAGCGCTGGGGAAGGGGAGGTGATGCTTTGGATGGCAGTTCACGGTGTGGCAGTGGGGGCGGTAGGAAGACCAGCCCTCGCGGTTGCGGTGGGGGGAGATCTGCGGCGGCAGAGCTGACCTCGCCCCTCGGGCTCGTCCGTGCTTCCGTTACCGAAATCCAGAATAAAACCTCCTTAACACCGAGGTGACGTTGAGAAGCAGGCACTTCGTTTATTGCAGCGCTGGGGACACGGGGGATCGCTCCTCCAAAGGCGTGTCCGAGTTAGTATCAAAATCCATCGGTTTTTATAGACTTTCTCTGTCAGGTCATTGTTACATAAGCTCTTTACATAAAAATGCATACTATGGTCGCTCTTAAATTTAACCTTTATAATGATTGGTCCTTTGATTATATAACCTTATCAATATTCTTATTTAAAAACAATCGGTGGTCAATTGCATTTAGCTCTGCTGATTAGAACCTTTGATACTCAAATCGAGGTGGGAAGGGTAAGGGAGTTTCCAAGCAGCATAACTGGCGTCCATGGCGGTTTCCTTAGTTTCTTAAGACAAAACATAGAAAAGCCAGTATCTTCCTGGTGAGGTTTCTCTGGTCAGCTATTCCAAACTTTAACAATGTTGAGGTTCCTACAGTCACACAGAACACAGTGCCTAAAGTTTCTATGGCTACATTTCAAACTTAACAATCCTATACATTATGCTTCACAATTTCACTTCTTAGTCAAACCTAACTCTTCTATGTGATTACATTTTGATTTCTTCATCAGAGTATTTGCAACACCGCCCCCGCCCGTTCTTCCCACCGCCTCATTAGCATTCGGCTGCTTTGCATACCCAGGATGCACCGCGGCTCAGCCCCGGCCCCGCCGGTGCTCGCCGCCGCCGGCCGGTCCGAGCTGTTCGGGTCCGCGCGGCTGGGGCGACCGCGGCGGGGGCGGGGGGCGCGGGGGCGGGGC